ATTATACTATATTATACTATATTATAATGTAATATAATATGGCATCTAGCCTCAACTCTCCCAAGCAGTTTGCCATCGCCTCTGTCACTGTTCCGGATGCTGGAGTCACTCGGAATTTATATTATATTATATTATATTATGTTATGTTATGTTATGTTATGTTATGTTATGTTATGTTATGTTATGTTATATAATATTATATTATGTTATATTATAAAGTTTTCCTATTGTACTATATTGTAACATATTACTTTACATTATATTGTACAGGCACCACAGATTCAGCTTCGCCTCTGATCAACCGATTCAGAAGCATGCGCTTCTGAGACGCGCGGGTACACACTGCAGTCTGGGTGCTAAGGCTTAGGGTTTAAAGGGGTCTATACTTTGCTTATGTTAAGAAAGAATCGTGGACTATAGGACTAGGACTGAGGCTTGTCGGTTGACGATGAAAGAATCCGCTTTTCTTGGCCGCCCGGCCTCGGCAAGGGCTTTGACCATCTGCTTCGCCCGATCAACCTCGTGTGCAAGCTGGTGACATGGCCTTCATGACTAGAATAGGATGGAGGGTTTCAGGTTGCAGGGTTTGCAGGCTTGATGGAGCTATAAAGGCTAACATTCCCTAAACCCTAAACCCTAAACCCTGAAGCCTAAAGCCCTAAAGCCCTAGACCCTAAATGGTCTGAGGCTGTCCTGGCCTGCTCCGAGGTGCCGCTGAGGTAGACGCGGCAACAATCCTCTCAGCTTCACGGCTCTGCTTACACAAGGGTCTCAACCACACAGATACACAGTTGAGGAAGCGGAGGATCAGATTGAACTTCCCTTTGCATAAATCCGTAACCAGAACTTCTGAGCAGCTGGAGCAGCTGGTAACTCCGGCAAGCCATGCAATGCCAAAGCTAGGCCGTGAACTCCACCGGCTGTGCCAAAAATAACAACATTCCATAATGATCACGAGGAGAGCCCTTTGGCAAAAATCATTTCTAACTGCATCCTCGAGCTTCTCGACCTTGATCTGTGCACCACTCCGGAGTCGAACCTGCCGTCATTAAGGTCCACTTCGGCTCATGAACCCAAAACAAGATTATTTGTGAGTTCTGAAGCGTGTTGTCGTTCGCTCGCTCGGTTCTTGCTCTTCGTTGCATGCATTGCTTCGTCAGTTCAGTCCTGCTTTGATGCTTCCATCATCTCATCCAGTCAACATCAGCATCATCCGCCCCCGCGCACCCATGCTACGGACACCCTCGCAACATCAACGACACCTACCGCGAAAACATAACCATCGCCATGACTCCATCACCACCACGTTCATCGACATAAACGCTACCGCCACCAACACTACCACCACCACCACCACCAAGATTGAATTATCGTCTTCACCATCACCATTAGTACCACAAGCATCATCATCACCACCACCTGTATCGCCAACATCCTCGTCACCACCTCCGCCACCTTCATTATCTTCTACAAGTTCATGAACGATATCGAAATCATCTATATCATCGTCGCCACCAAGATTACCATAATCTTAATCTTAATCATACTCGTCGACATCGTCGTAGTTTGAGTCATAATGTCACCCACAACAGCAACAACAACATCATCAACAGTGGCAGCAAAACACAGAATCACCATCAAACTCGCACCCTCATCAGACCCCACAGATTCGTGGCCAGCAAAAGGCATCAGCCGTGAATCGTAGTTGTTACCTGTCTTGTCATGACCCACATCGTCAGCCCAGCGTCATGATCAGCATCCGCATCAACAGCAGCAGCAGCAGCAAGAGCGTTACAGTCAGCGTCGATACACCGTCAGCGTCAGCAAAAGCATCACTGTACGACTCATATTCGACGTCTTCCTCGTCGTACTCTACATCATCGTGGTGGCCATCTACACCAACATCGTCGTCGCCGCTATCATCGTGATCACCATCACCGCCATCAGCAAATATCAGCATCAGAACCCAGCAGCCTCGGAGATCTGTGCGCCCCGGGAGCCGATGATGCGGCCAGCGGCGCTCAGGGGGAACTCGATGTGCTCGTCTCCGCCGGGGGTTTCGGGTTTAGGGTTTAGGGTGGGGCTCTGGTGGTGCTGAAGAGAGTTGAGGTTTAGGGTTTTGTGGCTTGAGGATCATTCCGAGTGGTGTGAAGGATTTTTTGTTGCTCCACTAGGGCCTCATTTTTGGGTAGGAAGATCATGATGATTTGGCTGGCCGGAGACAGAAACTGAAGACTTACTGGTGTCCGCTGAGCATTGCACTTTGCAGTCACAGAGATCCCAAAACTGAAATGAGCTTCTAATTGCAGGCGCTGGGGAGACGGGGGGGTGTTGCAACTAAGTGGTTCAAGCCCGTCTCTGCAAGTCGGATGACCAGCCTTCCTCGCCGGTCCTGAGTTGGGTTCAGGGATGAAGGTCATGGGTCTGAAAGAAGGACAGTACAAAAGCAGAGCGACTCCAATGAAAGGTCTACTGCTAAGTCCCACCATGATCCTGAAAATTCTTTGGGGCGATCATCCAAACAGGATGACAGGGCTGCAGCCCAACAACATAAGTGGAGTAAGGGCCTCACAGGGGAGCTCTTCCTCTTCTGGACCAAGCACAGTTCGAGTTGCAGGATTCTAGCATCCGGTCAAACAGCAGTCACACCGCATGTCTACATCTATTTTCAACATCCACGTCCTTTGAGAAGTCATCCTCGAAGTCTTCACAGAAGCCCTGGTATCCTCCCACAAAATCTGGGCCCGCAGCCCCACGGCTGCCGTCTTCTCCGCGTTGGCAGCAGCCTCGTCCGCCAGGCCCTGGATCATGGACCTGACTTCACAAAGACCCCCACAAGGACCCTCCCCACCTCCCCACCTCCCCATCTCCCGATCTGATCCTAAAACCCTAAAACCCTAAACCCCTAAACCCTAAACCCCTAAACCCCTAAACCCTAAACCCCTAAACCCTAAACCCCTAAACCCCTGGGCTGGAAAGGTGGTGCAGAAAAGGCCCAGCTTCTGAGAGCCCAGGCTTGGCTCGCGCGATCTGCTCGTCGCTGCCGGCGATCAGCACTTTGCAGCGCTCCTGAGCTTTAGGGGTTTAGGTTTTTTTGTGTGTTGAGCACCTTTTTCCCCTTTGCCAATCCAGCTCAGCGGAATCCACATTTGCGGAAGGGATCTCTTACGGGCTACGGACTTACGACACTCACCCCTTGTAGTCAGCCCTGTGTCTCAGCACCCTTGACTTCCACTTCTCCATCACTATATAGCGTACGGCAGAACGGAATCACCGCTCTGGGGTTTCGACTTCTGAGCTTCCTGCTGAACCCACTAAACACACCTTCCACTTCAGCTTTTCGGTGCGGCAAGCTCTCCTGTACAAACCTTGGAGGTTTCCAGGGCTAGAAAGGACTCGAGAGCTGCGGGTGGCTGAAGAGTTGAGACAGCTATCAGTCCTGTACATCCGGCTGCTGCAGCTCACCTCGGCCCTCCTCTTCGTCCTCCTCGCACATGCTGGGGTCATTCTGTCTGCGGCGACGCCATCGTCGGCCAGGGCACTTCTTGGTCCAGCTGTCCTGCTCTCGATGGATGATGCGGACATACAGCTTCTTCCCTGCAGGTGTCCGTGCGCCACGGAGAGAGCGCGCTGCCTCCTCGCACATTGTGACACTCCTGTGCTTTCCCCAGGCGCAGCCCACGGCAATCCTCACTGGGGCACCTTCGCTTCTCGCTGCATGCTGAAGAGCGGAGGATCGGATCTTCTCAAGCAGCTCTTCCGCGCCTTGACACTGCATGACCTCTGAGCGCAGTCGGGCATCCAAGCCTGTGAGATGCCGCCTAGGACGGCGGTCTGGATTTTCCAAGCCTCGAGCATCGAAGTGCTGGTCTGCGAGCGGCTGTCCGGCTCCCCTGCTGTAGCCGAAAGAAACGAGCTCCACACAGACCTTCGTTGGGTCTGCGATCTCTTCCTCCTGCAGATCTTCGCCAGAGGCCGTCAGCAGCGGCCCCTCGTCACAATGTTCCCGTGTCCGCGAAGGCTCACTGTTGGCAAGCTCCTCCTGCTCGGAGGCGACCTTGGCCACAGCCTGGGCAGCAGCCTTGGGAGCCGCAGCTGTCGGAGGAGCACCAGAAGGTCGCAGCACTCGCTCGAACTGCACCTTCATCTTCGGATCCGGGATCGGGAACAAGACGTAATCAAACGCTCCGCGCAGCTCTGGCAGGTCCAGAGCAACGTGGAAAGCTTTGGCGACCTCCTGCGGGTCGTTTTTGAAGACACCACATCCCCAGGCGCCGAGAATCAATGTCCGAAGATCATTGGCTTTGGCGATGCGTAGAACTCGCACCACCCGGGCCTTCAGCACAGAGACGACTTCTTTGACTGCAGGTCCCTTCGCAGCCCCGGCATTGGGAGCCGCAGCGGTGAGCACAGAGCAGCAAACTGGCTTGTCAAGGAAAGCGCCTGCATCCGTGCGAAAGAAGGGCACACACGGGGAGAAGATCATGTCATCTGAATACAGGCAGCCGTTCGGGTCCGTGCGGTTCCGGGCATACAGGCTGTCTTTGAACTGCTCCAAGCATGGGAAGAGGCCAGAAGAGCGTGCCAGCGACTCCTCCTGCGCCACCGCCCCGCCAAGGAAGCCTCCCCCTGGATTCTTGGCGCTGGCGAAGTTCAGCAGCATGGTGGCAGATAGATCCTTCGCTTCCTCGGCGATCCTGTACAATGCCTGCAAGGACGTCTCCTCCGTCACTTGGACATGCAGCCTACCAGAGGTGTGCTTGCTGGCCGCTGACCTGCGCAGCGGCACATTCTCGCAGAGCTCCTCTGAGCCCTCCATTGCGCGATCAAGGGCCACAGAAATGTCGACGGGATCGTCTGCAGTGTCGGTCATGTACCAACCTCGCGCGAGAACCTCCATCGTCTCCTCTGCCAGTGCTTTGCAAAAGTCCCGGTGGCTCCTCCTGGATCGTTCGTCGCGAGCCATGCTGCGGTCGATCCGGCACACAATATGAAACGTGCAGTCTTGATTTCCCTAGTTGGCAAAGATGAGTACCGATTGACAGCTGGCTTCTGCCGGAGTCATAACCCAACGCATGGGCTGAAAATGTCTTCTTCCAGCCAAAATGGGGGTTTAGGGTTTCAGGTCTGAGCTACGATAACTCTCTGGTTCTTAGTAGGGAATGGGGGAATGGGTTATTGAGACTACTCTAGGGGACCTTAAGGGACTATCACAGGGATCCATTCCCCCATTTCCCTACTAAGAACCAGAGAGATAATG